TAAAGTAGAGACACTACATACTGATATACACCTGAACATCAGCAGGAGAGGACTCTTTAAAGTAGAGACACTACATACTAATATACACCTGAACATCAGCAGGAGAGGACTCTTTAAAAGTAGAGACACTACATACTGATATACACCTGAACATCAGCAGGAGAGGACTCTTTAAAGTAGAGACTCTACATACTGATATACACCTGAACATCAGCAGGAGAGGACTCTTTAAAGTAGAGACACTACATACTGATATACACCTGAACATCAGCAGGAGAGGACTCTTTAAAGTAGAGTCACTACATACTGATATACACCTGAACATCAGCAGGAGAGGACTCTTTAAAGTAGAGACACTACATACTGATATACACCTGAACATCAGCAGGAGAGGACTCTTTAAAGTAGAGACACTACATACTGATATACACCTGAACATCAGCAGGAGAGGACTCTTTAAAGTAGAGACACTACATACTGATATACACCTGAACATCAGCAGGAGAGGACTCTTTAAAGTAGAGACACTACATACTGATATACACCTGAACATCAGCAGGAGAGGACTCTTTAAAGTAGAGACACAGCAGTCGATGATCTCTATTACTTATCATTTCTAAATTGTGAAGCCCTAACACTTTACTCTGTGGTTAATAGTGGAAGTCAGTAATAATACAATAAAAGTGTGAATATGTGGCATTAAAACACCCCAAGCCCTTTTCCCAGATATATAGAGGATTTAAAAGAAACGTGAAGCAGGGGTTTATGGGAAAAAGCTGCAGACAATTTCCCCTTCATATACAGATGCTGTTTATGGGAACAGTTTTCATAAGGGCAGAGTTAGAGGTCCTCTTCCAAAAAAAGCTCTTTTAATGAGACGCGTTTGGGTCTGATGGTTTTCTGAATCATTCACAAAAAAAACACTTTCTAGAATTCCCATCCTACTCTCCCAGAAAGATAAATGGCAGATATTCAGAGAAGCATTTCTGGAATCTTGAATAAGTGTCGGCCAAAACTGACTTCATCTCTCTTTTGCCAAAAGTAGAGTACAAATACTTCCTTACTGTACTTAAATACATTTTTCTGGTATCAGTACTTTACTCCACAACTTATTTTTCTGACTACTTTTTACTTTGACTTCTTACATTTTGAACTCAAATACCTGTACTTTCTACTTCTTACATTTTGAACCCAAATACCTGTACTTTCTACTTCTTACATTTTGAACCCAAATACCTGTACTTTCTACTTCTTACATTTTGAACCCAAATACCTGTACTTTCTACTTCTTACATTTTGAACCCAAATACCTGTACTTTCTACTTCTTACATGTTGAACACAAATACCTGTACTTTCTACTTCTTACATGTTGAACACAAATACCTGTACTTTCTACTTCTTACATGTTGAACACAAATACCTGTACTTTCTACTTCTTACATGTTGAACACAAATACCTGTACTTTCTACTTCTTACATTTTGAACACAAATACCTGTACTTTCTACTTCTTACATTTTGAACACAAATACCTGTACTTTCTACTTCTTACATGTTGAACACAAATACCTGTACTTTCTACTTCTTACATGTTGAACACAAATACCTGTACTTTCTACTTCTTACATGTTGAACACAAATACCTGTACTTTCTACTTCTTACATGTTGAACACAAGTACCTGTACTTTCTACTTCTTACATTTTGAACCCAAATACCTGTACTTTCTACTTCTTACATTTTGAACCCAAATACCTGTACTTTCTACTTCTTACATTTTGAACACAAATACCTGTACTTTCTACTTCTTACATGTTGAACACAAATACCTGTACTTTCTACTTCTTACATGTTGAACACAAATACCTGTACTTTCTACTTCTTACATGTTGAACACAAATACCTGTACTTTCTACTTCTTACATTTTGAACACTAATACCTGTACTTTCTACTTCTTACATGTTGAACACAAATACCAGTACTTTCTACTTCTTACATGTTGAACCCAAATACCTGTACTTTCTACTTCTTACATGTTGAACCCAAATACCTGTACTTTCTACTTCTTACATGTTGAACCCAAATACCTGTACTTTCTACTTCTTACATTTTGAACACAAATACCTGTACTTTCTACTTCTTACATGTTGAACCCAAATATCTGTACTTTCTACTTCTTACATGTTGAACACAAATACCTGTACTTTCTACTTCTTACATGTTGAACACAAATACCTGTACTTTCTACATGTTGAACCCAAATACCTGTACTTTCTACTTCTTACATGTTGAACCCAAATACCTGTACTTTCCACTTCTTACATGTTGAACACAAATACCTGTACTTTCTACTTCTTACATGTTGAACCCAAATACCTGTACTTTCTACTTCTTACATGTTGAACCCAAATACCTGTACTTTCTACTTCTTACATGTTGAACCCAAATACCTGTACTTTCTACTTCTTACACTTTGAACACAAATACCTGTACTTTCTACTTCTTACATGTTGAACACAAATACCTGTACTTTCTACTTCTTACATGTTGAACCCAAATACCTGTACTTTCTACTTCTTCCATGTTGAACACAAATACCTGTACTTTCTACTTCTTACATGTTGAACACAAATACCTGTACTTTCTACTTCTTACACTTTGAACACAAATACCTGTACTTTCTACTTCTAACATGTTGAACACAAATACCTGTACTTTCTACTTCTAACATGTTGAACACAAATACCTGTACTTTCCACTTCTTACATGTTGAACACAAATACCTGTACTTTCTACTTCTTACATGTTGAACCCAAATACCTGTACTTTCTACTTCTTACATGTTGAACCCAAATACCTGTACTTTCTACTTCTTACATGTTGAACACAAATACCTGTACTTTCTACTTCTTACATGTTGAACACAAATACCTGTACTTTCTACTTCTTACATGTTGAACACAAATACCTGTACTTTCTACTTCTTACATGTTGAACACAAATACCTGTACTTTCTACTTCTTACATGTTGAACACAAATACCTGTACTTTCTACTTCTTACATGTTGAACACAAATACCTGTACTTTCTACTTCTTACATGTTGAACACAAATACCTGTACTTTCTTCTTCTCACATTTCCCAAACAGGCTGGTTCCTTTAGTTTGAATGTGTGTTTGGTGGCGTGATCATTATTATTTAGAGTCATTGCGTGCCTATTGATTTGAACACGATCCGTGTATCCATCATTTCCTGGTCTTCTCTAAAGAAGAGGGACCAATGAAAACGTTGTCATGTTGCCGTTGTTCAGCATGGAAACATTCATTAGCTAACAATGACATTATTGTTCTATTCATATAAAGGGAGGTCAGGTACTCTTTAAAACAGCTGCTAGTTATGGGTACTTTTTACTGAAGTACATTTCAAAGCCCTCTTTACTTTTACTTGAGTAAAGAAGTTTAGTCAGTACTTCTACTTTTACCAGAGTATTTTTAAACACGAGTATCTGTACTTCTACTTGAGTAAAGGATGCGTGTACTCTTGCCCTCTCTGATTGCGTGTGAAAGAAACCGCCCAGGACACTTTTCCCCCGTGCAATTTGGGCATTAGCTCTCCGAACACCCGCCTGAGAGCGAGAGATTAAAATAAAAACGTCAAAAGTAAACATTTCTTTCCACAATTGATATCGCTCGGAGCACTCTGGGACAAATTGGCTTCCTGTCGGGGGGAGGTGTTTCCTGTGTGAGGGAAAGAGAGGACAAGAGGGCACGAAAAGCTTTGCATAACCTCCTCTTTAGGAGAGAGGGAGGGAGGGAATGTTTATTGATCTTAGTCACACACATATTGTAAAGAGGAACTTTGGTACAAGCCTTTAGCACGCTATGGGAATCTGAAGGGGGGGTTTGCTCCCACTTCACTTCTGGATAAGAACTGTCAGAGGTGGGAGGAGTACTCGGATATTATACTTGAGTAAAAGTAGAAGTACTCGGATATTATACTTGAGTAAAAGTAGAAGTATTCAGATTTTGTACTTGAGTAAAAGTAGAAGTATTCAGATCTTGTACTTGAGTAAAAGTAGAAGTACTCGGATATTATACTTGAGTAAAAGTAGAAGTACTCAGATCTTGTACTTGAGTAAAAGTAGAAGTACTCGGATATTATACTTGAGTAAAAGTAGAAGTACTCAGATCTTGTACTTGAGTAAAAGTAGAAGTATTCAGATCTTGTACTTGAGTAAAAGTAGAAGTACTCGGATATTATACTTGAGTAAAAGTAGAAGTACTCAGATCTTGTACTTGAGTAAAAGTAGAAGTACTCGGATATTATACTTGAGTAAAAGTAGAAGTACTCAGATCTTGTACTTGAGTAAAAGTAGAAGTATTCAGATCTTGTACTTGAGTAAAAGTAGAAGTACTCGGATATTATACTTGAGTAAAAGTAGAAGTACTCAGATCTTGTACTTGAGTTAAAGTAGAAGTACTCAGATCTTGTACTTGAGTAAAAGTAGAAGTACTCAGATCTTGTACTTGAGTAAAAGTAGAAGTACTCAGAACTTTTACTTCAGTAAAAGTAGAAGTACTCAGATCTTGTACTTGAGTAAAAGTAGAAGTACTCGGATATTATACTTGAGTAAAAGTAGAAGTACTCGGATCTTGTACTTGAGTAAAAGTAGAAGTATTCAGATATTATACTTGAGTAAAAGTAGAAGTACTCAGATCTTGTACTTGACTAAAAGTAGAAGTACTCAGATCTTGTACTTGAGTAAAAGTAGAAGTATTCAGATCTTGTACTTGAGTAAAAGTAGAAGTATTCAGATATTATACTTGAGTAAAAGTAGAAGTACTCAGATCTTGTACTTGACTAAAAGTAGAAGTACTCAGATCTTGTACTTGAGTAAAAGTAGAAGTATTCAGATCTTGTACTTGAGTAAAAGTAGAAGTACTCAGATCTTGTACTTGAGTAAAAGTAGAAGTACCAGAGTGTAGGTTGATGTAACCCACCTCTGCGTACGATGGTGATGGGAGCCGTGCTGTTTGTCCCCTGATGATGAAGATGAGGATGAAGAGGGTCTCTTTGTCCCTGACGTTCTGCAGGGACGAGGCTCGGTTCTGCTGCAGAACCCGGATCAGAACTGGGCTCAGTGACGGTTCTCTGGAAGTCCAGGATCTTCAGCTCCTTTATATCCCTGGCACTAAAAGAGACAAAAAGGAAAACAGGTCTGAAAATAGTGAAAACGATCCGTGACAGTTTCTCAAAGACCAAAGTGATGTCTTTCCAAAACCAGAAGATATTCACTTTACTATGAAGGGAAGGGAATCATTCTGTATGAAGATGTATGAGATTATAGCATGAAAGGTTCCTTTGATGTTCACTCAATTTAGAGAATAGTTCCTGATGTGTTTTCGGAGAATCGACTGATAGTCAAAAATACACACAGATAGAAAATGCTATTATTGATATTGCAGGTGTCCTCTCACCCAGGTAGATGCAGGGGATGGGGAACAACAAGAAAGGGTCATAAAGATGAAATAAGAAATCTCACATGAAATAAAACGGATCACTTTTAGTCAGAAGTTTCCACTAAATCTCATGAAGCAATGCGGTCTCCATTTGAACTTGTGTTAAAGCTCTTTGTGAAATGTATTTCTGTGAAAGGGGCTATACTAAATAAATAAACGTATTATAAATGCATTTGATTATTCTAATTGATTCATTTTTTTAATTATTATTATTTATTTTCTTGTCAGTTATTTTATTTTGTTTTTTGCTACTTGGTTGGTTACGTTTGAGTAAGTAACCAACCAAGCATATATTATGCATGGATCGCCAACTCATTTGTACACGTCTCATTCACTCATTGTTAGTATCTGTATGTGTGGATGTTGTTATTTGAATTTGTAACAAAATTGAAAAACTCAATAAAAATATTGTTACCATTTTTTTTTTTTAAAGACTGGACTCACTGAGAGCTCAAACTGCACCAAGAAATCAACAAGACTCTAGATACTTTGGTTCTTAGTTGACAACCCCAGGGGTAAAACATTCAGACACGGCCTGTGGGGATCAATGGATGGAGAAGGTACATTTCAATTTAAAGGGATACCAGTTTAATTTACATAAAGGGCAGCAACTAACAATTACTTCTGGAAATAGCATTATGGTAAAACGGTGGAGAGAGGATGAAATGCAAACATCTGGACAGTCGTAGAGCCTTCACCATTGTCTCAGGTGTATTTATTAGATCTATGCATTTCATGTTGAAGTGTAATTAGGGAGAGTGTGTCCCTGGTCTCTCTCACCTGAAGGTGACCTCTGGGAGGGAACACCTGACCCCGTTGTGAAAGGGAAGCTTCAGAGAGATGGTCTGGTTGCTGTGATCCACGGAGGAAACGGATCCCTGATAAACTCCTAACGTCAGGCCGCAGTTTATCGACACGACGCTCTCCAACCAGTCTGTGGCCATGCTGCTCGCTGAGGGTAGAACGTGAGGAGAAACGACGCGTCCGTTAGTTTCTGCTGCTTCGAGCACGGCTGCGTGATCCTAAATGCCAAGTGAAATAGTTGGTGATTTGTGAGAGACTTATCAATTTGACAAGTAATCATTGCAGCTCTAAATTAAAGCATTAAGAGGATTTAGGCCTAAAACATTAAAGTATTTATTGTTTGTAAACGTGTATTGCCTAAATGCAGCTCTTATCATCTGGCTTCTCTGCCATGGAGAACTGAACTAAACTCCATTAAATAATCTGCTAGATTCGTATTTTTCTAACCTTTAAAAAAAAAGAAAAATGTCATCAATCCTTATTTATTCAGGATAAATAAGTATTCCCATTGGCTGATGCAAAATGGCACCAAATATTTAAAAGGTACTTAGTTGCTGTACGCCACTGCTAAGTAGATTTAATCAACTACTCAGAATCCTTTTATTAGTCCCACGGAGGGGAAATGTGCGTAGTTACAGCAGGAAGAAGAGCCACAGACAGCTTAATGTTACATATGTTAAATATGGAACATGCATTAAAAAAAAGTGCTAAGTTATGATATAATAAAAAATAAAAAGTTACATAATTTAAAAAAATACACATCCTGTAACAGTTCTTAGGATTTAGCAGCCAGGTATATATTACAGTTATTAACGGCATTTATATATTGCACATATTGCACATAGTTTGTACTTAACTACTGTACTTAAGTACCATTTTGAGGTACTTGTACTTTACTTGAGAATGTATATGTAATGTTACTTTATACTTCTACTCCACTATATTTATCAAACAGCTTTTACATAGTGGAGTAACTCTTTAAGTCACAAAAGAGTCAAATATTGAACTAAAAGTCAATCACAACTGTGTTTGTCTACAGCAGTAAAATACAACAATATCATCCAGAGTGTCACATATATAAATATAATTAAATACACACATAAAGGCACAATGAGTACTTTTACTTTATATACTTGAAGTACATGCAGGACTTTTACTCATACGTACTTTTAGTCAAGTAAAGCCTCTGTACAGCTTATTATGGGATGTTCATGTGTGTGCCCGCCCAGCTTTAGCTAACGTTGTTTTAAAGGGCCCATGTCATGGCCATTTCCACTGATCATAATTACATTGTTGAGGTATACTAAAATAGATTTATACTGTGCAATTTTCCAAACTCACATTGGTTTCGCATACAGCATCTCTGTCAAGCATGTGTATTCAGCAGTATTCACTTTCTCCACTAAACGACTCGTTGGAGCTCTTGCCCCCCCCTCCCTGTGAGCCTAGTGTGCTCCGATTGGTCAGCTCGGCCACTCGTTCTGATTAGTCAACCACCAGAGAGGCTGCGCCCATGTCTAACAGTGCCTTGTCTTTTGCCTTGAAAATGTCTTTTCCCGGCTGCTCTCAGCGTAACATCAGTCTTATCATGGCGTCGGCACAGCCGTATATTTTATATACATATATATTTTTAACTGTTGTTATAGAAGAGTGTGACGGCCCCAGGGCCTTTGTCTTACGATGGGGTGGAGCTGAAGAGGCTAATCAGCACGATCACGGACACCTCCGGACACTACGGCCCCAGTCTCTCTCCAAAGCGGCTGCAGGAAGACTAACTCTGCGATCCTCTCAACCATCTCTGCATTTACCACAATAAATGTGCCGTGGTTTTGTAAACTCGTGTATGTCTCCTTGTCTTTGTGGCCTACGAGCCGCTCATAACAAAGAGTAAGTTATTTTTACCCGTTATAAACTACTACTGTTTGATGAGAAATCAAATCATGGTTTGCTATATATGAATTCAGGGAAGAAAGGATAGGCCTACTAAGTATTTCCATTAAACTTTATTTTTAGAAATGTACAAAATGAACATAAATATACATATATACACGGTATATCATCCATTCCTCCTCCTCGCAGGCAGCACAGTCGGTGCGGTGCCTTTTAGCACGACGCCTCAGTAGTAGTAGAAGTGCCTTTTAGCACGTCATGGATTGTCCGCCAGGATCTGGCTGGACGAAATCAAATGCAAATCACAAAATATTAGAGAAACTTAGTTGTTTTAGATTCGTTAGTAGTAGTTGTGTAATGAACAGCTTGCCTGCTAATATGCTAACCTAGCTTTGTTTACCTTGGTAGCTAACACGATATGAACGTTAGCTTGGAGGAAAGGCAACTATAATGCAGTGTAATAAAACTACTATGAACAAAAGCTAGTGGTTCATATTAGGCTAGCAATAACGTGTTTATAATTGCAATCGTATACGGGTATTCTGCTACCATACAATGTAACTTGCATGAATACATTGTTTTGCGCTAGCATACAGCTAGCCTCGTTAGCTACATGCAGTATATGTACGGTCACAATGTACGGTAAATCACAGTACAGTATACTGTATGAGTATTCCGTGTGTGTGAATGCAGACATTCTCCTGCTATGAGATACATGTATGCAAGGCCATCTGCTGATATTAGAGTTGATATATGGAAACTCTAGCAACTTAGTTAGCACAGTTAGCACTGTGTCAATGGCTTAGCAGTCCAACACAGTTTACACATTTAAACAGTCTTGTTTGATAAATACACAAATAACAATGCAAACTTACAGGTTGTATACCCAGATCTTCCCCTGCTCCAAACGGTCCAAACAAGCTGTGCATATCCGGCCTCAAACTGGGCAATGTTTTGGAAGCTTTCGTCTGTGAAATGCCGGTTCTTCGAACCTCTGGAGGAGGAACACGCCGCTGCTGGTGTGGCCATAGCTCTTCGGGATTGGTCCATTTCGTTCCGGGTACCGCATGACATCAGGCGGTACCCGGAAGAATCAAATGGGCAGTGACGTATCTCCAACGAGGCGTTTTGGGGAGGTATTTTCTGTGTTAGAGTTTTACTCGCTACAGGGTGTACTTTGAGGGTTTTGACTCTGCACACCGTTTACATGCATAAAAACCTTCATAACACACAAGGGGACGGGTAATAACCGGAAAAGCATGACATGGGAGCTTTAAAGAGTTTAATGTGTGTCTTGGACCTGACTAAAGTATCATTGATTATTAAAAACGTGACGGTGAAATAAATGACATAAATAACATCCATATGAGGTCAGAGTTCAGAGAAGTGACCTGTAATGTAAACATGTAATTAAAATAACATGTTGGAAGATAAACAAACAGCAACGTGTGTTTACTGCTAGCATCACAGTTAGCATTAGCTTCGCGTCTCTTCCTCCGGTTTGCTTTTAATCTAAAGCAACGTCTTTTGAATTCGTATCAAAGGCTTGACTTTGTTTCAAGGTTCAAACTGAGGATATCCAGTGGATAATGGATTAAATACCTTGTCGATAAAACTGTAGCGAAGAGTCAAGAAAAGCCACAGAAGCTACAGCTGTTGTTCGTGTTGATTTCCGGTTTGAGACGCTACGTCACTTCCTTTATCTCCCACGTGGGTTTGTTGTGATTTTTTTATTAAATCATAAAACGATTATTTTTGAAGCCTTTCCTTAGTTTTTCTCCTCTCAAGTCACTTATTTAGGGTAAAAAGTGTTTCAGAAATTATGGTTTTTTATTTTATCCCCTGAAACCTTCAACTGCGTAAAATCAGAGGTGGGAAGTAACTAAGTACATTTCACTTTTAACTTTGTTTGTTTGTTTGTAGCCTTTATTTATCCAGGTTAAAAATCCCATTGAGATCAACGATCTCTTTTACAAGGGAGACCTGCGGTACATTGAGTTACACATATAAAAACAAACAGAAAACAAAAAGGACATCACAACATAATTACAGGGGTATACATTAGCATCTATTTACAGTGACAGGTATCCAATAATATTTCATCCAGTCGTGCTTTAAAATGATGCAAGGGAATCAAAATGCTGAGTTTCAATATTTTTTGCATAGTGTTCCAAGCTAGAGGAGCAGACTTTACTCAAAATTGTACTCAAGTACTGTACTTAAGTACACGTTTGAGGTACTTGTACTTCACTTGAGTATTGAAATGTTATGCTACTGTGTACTTTTCCTCCACTACATGTATTTAATACCTTTAGTTACTTCACAGATGTGGATGAATGATGTGAAATCTAATCAAGTGTTAAATCACACTTTAGTTCCACCTGGAGTAAATCCACAAGCTACCCTGCAGTATACAAAGTCATTCAAACTAGCTGCACCTTTACCAGCTTTGAGAACACTTTCATGATCAATCATTATAAAACATATCATATATATTATTCTGAAATGGACCAATCTGCACAATGACTACTTTTACTGTCGCTACTTTCACTATATTTTGATGATAATACTTTTATACTTTTACTTGAGGAACATTTTGAATGCAGGACTTTTACTGTAACAGAGTATTCCTACACTCTGGTACTTCTACTTTTACTAAAGTACAAGATCTGAGTACTTCTACTATTACTCAAGTACAAGATCTGAGTACTTCTACTTTAACTCAAGTACAAGATCTGAGTACTTCTACTTTTACTGAAGTACAAGATCTGAGTACTTCTACTTTAACTCAAGTACAAGATCTGAGTACTTCTACTTTTACTGAAGTACAAGATCTGAGTACTTCTACTTTAACTCAAGTACAAGATCTGAGTACTTCTACTTTTACTCAAGTACAAGATCTGAGTACTTCTACTTTTACTGAAGAACAAGATCTGATTACTTCTACTTTTACTCAAGTACAAGATCTGAGTACTTCTACTTTTACTCAAGTAAAAGACCTGAGTACTTCTACTTTTACTCAAGTACAAGATCTGAGTACTTCTACTTTTACTGAAGTACAATATCTGAGTACTTCTACTTTTACTCAAGTACAAGATCTGAGTACTTCTACTTTTACTCAAGTACAACATCTGAGTACTTCTACTTTGACTCAAGTACAAGATCTGAGTACTTCTACTTTGACTCAAGTACAATATCTGAGTACTTCTACTTTTACTCAAGTACAAGATCTGAGTACTTCTACTTTTACTCAAGTACAAGATCTGAATACTTCTACTTTTACTCAAGTACAATATCTGAGTACTTCTACTTTTACTCAAGTACAAGACCTGAGTACTTCTACTTTTACTCAAGTACAGGATCTGAGTACTTCTACTTTTACTCAAGAACAAGATCTGAGTACTTCTACTTTTACTCAAGTACAGGATCTGAGTACTTCTACTTTTACTCAAGTACAAGATCTGAGTACTTCTACTTTTACTCAAGTACAAGATCTGAATACTTCTACTTTTACTCAAGTACAATACCTGAGTACTTCTACTTTTACTCAAGTACAAGATCTGAGTACTTCTACTTTTACTCAAGTACAATATCTGAGTACTTCTACTTTTACTCAAGTACAAGACCTGAGTACTTCTACTTTTACTCAAGTACAGGATCTGAGTACTTCTACTTTTACTCAAGAACAAGATCTGAGTACTTCTACTTTTACTCAAGAACAAGATCTGAGTACTTCTACTTTTACTCAAGTACAGGATCTTTGCTTACTGTATATATGTGCAGCTATAGTTGACCTGTTTATTGCTCAAAACGTTGTTATTCTCAGACATGAATTCACTTTTCTTCACATTAGTAACTGCTATCTTTATACATATAAAATAGTTTTCTTTTTAAATAAAGCAAACAATAGGAACAAGATCATTCTTACAACATATTTTATTTGCGTGGCTGATTAAAGGATGCTCCGATCCAATGCCCTTACATGTGATACAATCATCGATGCATTAGAGATACAAATACAAAAAACGGTCTACTGATATATTCCAAAAGAACTCTTTTGGCTTTCTTAAAGATGCAGAGCGAAAACTTTTCTCACCTCAAAAATATACAAACGCTAGGCATATAAAAATGTCTTTAAAAAAAAATACAAATAGCTTGATATACACACAAATAATCACATTTTGGGATACAGATATAGCTTCAGTGTCTTAAATCCACATTATAATGGGAAATAATTAGCTTACACGTTTAAATGGTATCACAAGGTTCTATCATTTCAGTTCAGAGTCCTGTGAGAGAAGGAAAGAATTTAGGTTGCAACCGCCTACATGATAATGCCTCAGTAAAACCTGCTCGTCCCAAACTAAGCAGAGGTTCACAACTTCTTAATAATGCAGTTTATTTAATGCACAGCACATCCACGCAGCTCCTTATTCTTCTTCGAGGCACCAACAATGTGCAGGAACCAAAAACATGATATGTTCATCTCTGACAATCTGCAAAAAGCACATTTCACTTTAATGCCATTAGCTCTGTAGATGAAACATCTAGTACATTCTGAGAACGCCTCTTCTCTCCATGCCTGCTGCTCTGACCCTTTGCAGTGTTTGAGTCCACTTCAATTGAGTCGTAAATTGCACAGATATGAGTATCTTCACTCCTCGTTCGTCCTCATCGTGGCCCTCAGGTGGCAGCGTTTGTGTTTCATGGTGAGTCCGTATTCGGGGGTCATGTCCGGCGTTTGCCCCGGCATGGCGTGGAAGTGCAGTTTCTGGACGATGATCGCCAAGAAGAGGTACACTTCGTTTCTGGCGATGACCTCTCCGATGCAGCGCCTCTTCCCCATGCCGAACACCATCACTTTCTCTCCTTCCTGCTTGTTCACCTCGCTGCCGTCAGAGGACAGGAAACGATCCGGAACGAAGGAAGACGGGTCTTTCCACAGCTCACTGAGATACAGATAAAGGAGAAAATAAATACATCGTATGGACTGTTGGAAAAGCCTTAGACTATCATTTCAAACCATTTCACTGTAAATGTTGTTCAAATGACAACAAAGACTTTGGATGTTGAACTTGCTAGTTGCACGGAGCAGCTCCTAGGTGTGAGGGTCAGTCATTTTCAATTGTTTTAATACATGTATTCAGAAACAAGGGAACTCACGGGTCTTGATTGATCTGCCACTGATTGATAAACACACAAGTGTCTTTGGGAATGTAGTATCCATTCAGAGACGTGTCTTTAGTGGTGCTGAAAGAGAAAGAGAAATGGTGTTATTGTGCATTCACTCCTTACTTGAGGAACATTTTGAATGCAGGACTTTTACTGAAACAGAGTATTCCTACACTCAAGTACAATATCTGAGTACTTCTACTTTGACTAAAGTACAAGATCTGAGTACTTCTACTTTGACTCAAGTACAATATCTGAGTACTTCTACTTTTACTCAAGTACAATATCTGAGTACTTCTACTTTTACTCAAGTACAAGATCTGAGTACTTCTACTTTTACTCAAGTACAAGATCAAGTACACCTCTAAAAGAGCAGGGACTCACCAGTGAGGGATGGTGAACGGCAGGAAGGAAGAATGGCGGAAAATCTCCAGGATGAAAGCCTCCAGAAAGGGAAGGTGGGGTCTGTCGGAGAGAACAGGGGTGCGATCCAGACCCACTTTGTCCTCTGGAAAACAAAAAATCATTGACTTTTAGTTCAGGACGAGAGTTGAGGGTAAAGTCAAGTCACGTTCTTTGAGAGGGGCAAAAACGTGCTTTCCTACATCACTTGTTTTACCACTAAAGAAGGCAAGAAGGAAAACTGGAATATGGTTCATGTTGTGTTTTTATATTTTTTATTATTTGCCCTTCTTGTTTCAAGATTCAAGTTTCAAGTCTTTTATTGTCATGTGTTCATAACTACAGTTTAGATATGACAATTCAGATCTGAGGTCACAGGCTCCTCCAACAGAGCAACTCAATAAAACAGATACAATAGAATATAGTAGAAATAGTGCAGAATAGTCTATACAGTAATTGGAATATTGATATATATATAAGTTGCAGATGAATGTTATGGATGTTCTTTCAAAAGTTCAGGTGTTTAACGATCTTATGGCCCGTGGGATGAAACTGTTTGTGTGTTTGCCTTGGGTCCCTTGAAAGGCGCTAAACAAATGTGATCTATTATTATTATTATGATGATGTACTTACTCAGCTCTTGATACAGCCTCTCCTGTATCTCGGGGTAAGCCACCAGGTACATCACGGACCAGGACAGAGCCGTGGAGATGGTATCAAAACCTGGAAGAGAAACATCTGTAAGGACACTTTGCAGAGGTGGGAAGTATTGGAGTACAAATACTTTGTTACTGTACTTAAGTACATGTTTCTGGTATCAGTACTTTACTCCACTACTTATTTTTCTGACTACTTTTTACTTTGACTTCTTACATTTTGAACACAAATACCTGTACTTTCTACTTCTTACATGTTGAACACAAATACCTGTACTTTCTACTTCTCACATTTCCCAAACAGGCTGGTTCCTTTAGTTTGAATGTGTGTTTGGTGGCGTGATCATTATTATTTAGAGTCATTGCGTGCCTATTGATTTGAACACGATCCGTGTATCCATCATTTCCTGGTCTTCTCTAAAGAAGAGGGACCAATGAAAACGTTGTCATGTTGCCGTTGTTCAGCATGGAAACATTCATTAGCTAACAATGACATTATTGTTCTATTAATATAAAGGGAGGTCAGGTACTCTTTAAAACAGCTGCTAGTTATGGGTACTTTTTACTGAAGTACATTTCAAAGCCCTCTTTACTTTGACTTGAGTAAAGAAGTTTAGTCAGTACTTCTACTTTTACCAGAGTATTTTTAAACACAAGTATCTGTACTTCTACTTGAGTACAGGATGTGTGTACTTTCACCATCTCTCTGATGTTTGTAGTCTTTAAAGTGGAGCAATCTCTTCTAATAAGAAACCTTCAACATGCAGAGAAGTAAAACCCACCGGCTCCAAACAGGTCGTTAACGATTCCTACGATCTTCTCGTCTGACATCTGGATGTTTGAGTTCTCGTCCAGCTTCCTGTCCTCGCAGTGATCGATGAGGGAGTCTGTGATGTCACGAATGTTATCCTGGAGGAAGACGATACAAAGAATCTCAATCAATTGTTTCAAATAAAACATGGAAACGTGGTTTTCATGTATAAGACAAGACAAGATGGAACTTTATTCATCCCCTTGGGAAAGTGTAGGCGTTAATAGCAGCACTAGGGTCAGAGTTAAAAACAGGATTCACATTTTAAAGATAAAATATAAAAAATGTAAATAATAAAGTAACTATTAAAACAAGATATCACAGTAAAAGGTTGTGCATTTGTACGAACATGCTAAATATATGTACATAAGTGTACCTTGTCGTAAGTGGTGTAATGCTCGGTGACGATCTTCTGAATGAACGCGTTGAATCGGGCGTTGATCCTCATGAAATTCTTCATCGTGGTGCTCGGCAGGAACCTCAGAGCGGGGATAAAGTCCCCGGGGTTTCCGCTGCCCACCACCCGTCCGAACTCATCGCTGAGGTTCACCAAACTCAGCAGCTCATCGTCGTCGTGGTTGTATCTCCGTCCGAAGCACATCCCGCAGATCACGTTGGCGACGGAAACTACGATGTGTCGGAAAGGATCGAAGCGGCCGTCCGCCTGCATGACGGTGTTCAGCTGTTTGATCAGATGCTCGCCCTCTTTGCAGATGTGTTCCTCCAGCATGCACGAGTACTCTGGGGTCGTTCCTTCAAGCGTGGAGAAAGATCTCAGAGCACTGTACGCTAGTTTCCTTCGGGCACGCCAAACTCCAGCTTGATCCGTACTGAACGCAAGACTCTTTCCGTCGTTTATGAGCCGGAAGCTGGGCAAATCTGGTCTTCCAGCGAAATCATCCCCTTGTTTGATGAGAGCCTGGCGAATGGTGTCGCTTCCACTCAGAACGACGACGGGTCGCATCCCGATCTGGATCTGGAACACGTCTCCGTAGCGTTTGCTCATGGCCGTGAGACTCAGATAAGGTCGGCTTCCCACTTCCAGAACATTCCCGATTATCGGTAGAGGTTTTGGGCCGGGAAGACGACGAAGACCCTCGGGGATCTTGTCGTTGAAACATTTGAGGATCAAGTAGGCCAGACATATCGTCACCATGGCAACCAGACTCTCAGAAACAGACACCGCTCCAATTACTGGGAGATTCATTAGCACCATGATGAAGACTCTCTATTTTCTTTCTTTGTTTCTTCTGGCGTCTGCACAACCTGGACATGAGAAAGAATCAGAGTCAGAATACTTTGATTCATCCCACAGAGAGGACCTTTACACGTGTTACAGCAGAACAGAGCCAAAGACAGCTTAATGTTAACTAAGAAGCATGCATACAAAGAATATTAAAGACACAAAAATGTAAGAAAATTACACAATTTACAAAATACAGTTACTTTGGGGTTAAGTGTCTCAGGGACACAACGACATGCTGACTGCAGTGGGGTTTGAACCTGTGCCCCCCTGATCCGAACACCAACGCACTAACCCACTGCGCCACACGCCTCCAAGCATGATTTATGTAATTGATTGTTTGTGCAGGTTATCTTATTTTCTCCATTATCTGCATTTTCAGCCAGGTAGATATTGCACAGTAATTAACGGCATTTATATATTGCACATAGTTGGTATTTAACAACAAGGGGGAGGGGCATCAGAGGAGAGAAGTTAGGGAGGAGGAGAAGTATTGTGCAACATGTTGACTACATGAAGTTTAACAGCACCTGAAGACAGCACACGGCATGTGTTTGGTATTAATTGTTCTCTTTAGATGCACAAAAACACTTTTTGCAATCTTATGCAAAAGTAGTTATCTATGTAAATCGTACTACAATATGACTCATTGAATGCTTATACGTAAAATCAAAACAATAATAAGCATGTGTGATGTTTTAATTGTTCTCTTGAGCTGCACAAAAACACTTTTTGCAATCTTATGCAAAAGTAGTTACCCATGTAAATCGTTTTACTTAATATCAAATATGACTCATTGAATGCTTATACATACAACCAAACAATAATAAGCATGTGTTTGGTATTAATTGTTCTCTTGAGCTGCACAAAATCACCGTTTGCAACCTAGTTATCTACATTAATCTTGTTACTTAATGCTTACACATGCAACCACATATTAAAACAATAATAAGCATGTTAAAGCTGCAACTACAAAGTCCAAATGTATATTTATTAACAGCCACGCTTGCAGAATAATCTCCGCGCGCTCACTCTGAAATCTGCCGTCTCGTGCATAAATGAACTCACCTTAGTGAAGCGGGAACAGCGGAACAACTCTCGGATCCGAGGAAGACTTGTCAAGATTGTAAAGGAAAATATCTTTTAGAAGAGTTCAGTCCGAGTTTACTCTCTTCATATCCCAAAACAGAGGCATGGGCTCGTGCTTTATAGCGCGCTCCGCAGCTCCATTGGCTCCTGGATCGTGACGTAATCTGTCTCTCTCTCTCTCTCTGTTTGGCATGAATGAAGTTTAGTACAGAGAAAAGGTGTGTGTGTGTGTGTGTGTGTGTGTGTGCGTGTGTGTGTGTGTGTGCGTGTGTGTGTGTGTGTGTGTGTGTGTGTGTGTGTGTGTGGTGTTGCTGTGCGTGACTCTGCGAGATTACAGATAGTTTGGAACTTCGTGTCAATAAAGACATGCTGGAATATTGCTCAGAAACCTTTGCATGACTTTGTTTGATGAGTGGGTTTTGTATGGATAGCTAACACGCAATAACAATCAAAGGCACGTCTTATTTCCGCCCCTATGGACCCGTCTCTATACTTTAATGTCATATATGTCACCTAAATATATACATTTTTAAAGGGTTTTGCAGATGTGTATATGGTGAAATTGTTGTTTTATTGTACTTTTTTCGCAATATTTGATCATTTAAAGTGAATAAAAGACACTGCCTTTGCAACATATCGGAGCCTGTGAATGTTTTGGCTAAAACAGAAACGATATCTCTAATTTCCCTGAGATAAAGTGATCCACTCAGTTTAAAATATCTCATGCAAATGAATGAAAGAGATACCTTCATATCCTCTCTTTGACGAGGTGATAGTGATTTAGAGCTGAGGTGGACCGATATGTGGGGGAAGCTTGTTATCAACGATTGTATTGGTGAATGAGAGGAAGAGTTTATCTGCATGGAACAAAAGTCTGGAAAAATACAGCACAGCAAAACCATTTTGACTCGTTTCTAAATGATATGTGATTTTAAAGTTGCTCTAAAATGAATAAATAAATCTGATTTACTTTAACACATGTCTAAGATCTGTTTCTCTGATCTTAACTATAGTCAAAATAACTCAACATTTATGCATTTTTAAACTAAAAATAAGGTTTACATTTGTGTAAATTAGATGTATTGACCATACATTTGGAAAAGGAAAGGCAACACTAACATTGTATTTAAGTGTCAGGATTTTAAGCGGCAAAATCAAAACACGTCTGCAAATCATATTTTTAAGGGTCATTTAAAGTCACTCCTGTCTGATTGCAGTAATAAAGATCCAGGTTTTAGTGTGAGAGTTTGGGACAGAGCCACCCTGGGGATATAAATAAATAAAGGGTTGACACATAAAAGCATGCTACTGGAAGTTAGAAAAGAATAAATCAAGAAAATCTGTAAATAAATGTTTTGTTAGCCGTTTTAAAAACAGATTTCTGGCACATTGTTGGCTTTTACAAATACTCTGTGCATCGAAAGGCTTGAGTTCAGCCTGATATATATTATTAAGGCTTTTAGGCTGAAACCAGGGTTCGAGTTATGGGAGCCAACGGGGTCTGAGCTCCCACAAGGAGGGGTCTGAGCTCCCACGGACGCAGTGAAATCATACATCTGTGGGGGTCGCTAATACATTACCAACAACCATTATTTTAATCACAAATAATGCATGTGTCAATGTAATGAGTATTATCTACGTTAACGAGGTAAATAGGCTAAAATAAAAACATGTTTTCTAAAAGAACTACGCATCTCTTGAATGACAATATGCCTGCGCTGCACCTCCAAGGTGCGCAATACATTATTGCGCAATCTATGCCTGTGAGCGTGCTGCGCGAGCCGAGATGATGTGTGTGTGCGTAGTTGAACCTTTTCATATTTAAGTTTGTATCAAGTAGAGGGCTGCTGTGTGTGTGTGTGTGTGTGTGTGTGTGTGTGTGTGTGTGTGTGTGTGTGTGTGTGTGTGATATGGATACTAAAATATAGTCATGAAAATCTTTAAATAAATGTTATTTAAGCCCTTTTAAAAACAGATTCCTGCCACATTGTTGGTTACTTTTAACACTTTTAGGCTTTTACAGAAACTATGTGTATTGAATGGCTTGAGTTCAGCCTGATAAAGTTAAATCTTAAAATATAAAAAGTATGCAACTGGAAGTAAGAAGAGAATAAGTCAAGAAAATCTGTAAATAAATGTTTTGTTAGCCCTTTTAAAAACAGATTTCTGGCACATTGTATGTTATTATGAACGCTTTTAGGCTGAAACGCTAATTTAAAGTCAGTGTGATTTCCGTAATACAGATCCAGAGGGAGAAAAGGCAGGAGTTTGTGACTGCCCTTTTAAAAACTGATTTCTGGCACATTGGTTACTTTGAACACGCTCAGGCTTTCTTTTGAACCCGTCTGCACACCACAGCTCCCTAAGGGTCATTTGAAGTCGCTCCTGTGTGATTGCAGTAATAAAGATCCCGTTTCATTGCAGAAAGGCAGGTTTTGTGACGTTTCCTCAGCAGCTGTTGGTCCTGATTCAACATGTCGTGTTCCTACCTGTTGCTTCAGCTCTGGAGTTAAAGATTGACCAGTGGTTGCGTGAGAGCCGGTGATCAAACCTCCCTTTGAAGAGGAGGAGGGGGAGTGAAAGGGCAGAAGAGTTCAATACCATTCCTCTTTGTCTCCTTCTCAACCTGCTATGCCCAGAACACATTTGCTAAGTCAGCATTAACAAGTCAACGCTCCACATTCAGGTGGTGGAAAGTAACCAAGTACATTTACTCAAGGGCTGTTCTTAAGTACAATTTGTAGATACTTTAATTGAGTATTTTCATTTTTTGCTACTGTGTACTTCTACTCCACTACATTTAATACCTTTAGTTACTTCACAGATGTGGATGAATGATGTGAAATATATCCAAGTGTTAAATCAGACTTTAGTTCCACCTGGAGTAAATCCACAAGCTACCCTGCAGTATACAAAGTCATTCAAACTAGCTGCACCTTTACCAGCTTTGAGAACACTTTCATGATCAATCATTATAAAACATATCATATATATTATTCTGAAATGGACCAATCTGCACAATGACTACTTTTACTGTCGCTACTTTAACTATATTTTAATGAGAATACTTTTCTACTTTTACTTGAGGAACATTTTGAATGCAGGACTTTTACTGAAACAGAGTATTCCTACACTCTGGTACTTCTACTTTTACTCAAGTACAGGATCTGAATACTTCTACTTTTACTCAAGTACAAGATCTGAGTACTTCTACTTTCACTCAAGTACAAGATCTGAGTACTTCTACTTTTACTCAAGTACAGGATCTGAATACTTCTACTTTTACTCAAGTACAAGATCTGAGTACTTCTACTTTTACTCAAGTACAAGACCTGAGTACTTCTACTTTTACTCAAGTACAAGACCTGAGTACTTCTACTTTCACTCAAGTACAAGATCTGAGTACTTCTACTTTTACTCAAGTACAATATCTGAGTACTTCTACTTTTACTCAAGTACAAGATGACATTACATGTCACTTGTATCCAAAGCGACTTACATACATTCAGTACTGTGGGCAATCCCCACAGGAACAATTTGGGGTGAAGTGTCTTGTCCAAGGACACAGCGGAATGTTGACTGCAGCAGGATTCGAACCAGTGCCCCCGTGATCCGAAGATCAGCGCACTTACCACTGAGCCACAACCATCCCAAGATCTGAGTACTTCTACTTTTACTCACATACAAGATCTGCGTACTTCTACTTTGACTCAAGATCTGAGTACTTTAAAACACACTCTGATAAACGTGTTCGTTAAATGAAAAGCTTTATTGATCTTGAAACTGTGATGTATGTCCAGCCTCTCTCTTGACCAGCAGGTGTTTAAACATCTGGAGGAGAAGCTCTACAGACAGACTCACACCCAAACTGAGCCTCATGTGAAACATGTCTTACAGTGGAAGTATGACCACGATGAAATGTTATATTACTCTGTGTGCTTTGTGTACATGTTCACAATACAAAGTTTTACAGGGATTTCCACATCCTATCTCCAATAACACCTCACACTGTACACGGAAACATCCATCACACACGGAAACATCCATCACACACGGAAACATCCATCACACACGGAAACATCCATCTGGCATTCACTGAAAACACATCCTTATTATATCTGTATTTATAAGTGGAACACCAAAAGGTTTTTGAAGTGCATTTCCTGTGATCAGTCGTCCTTATTCACAATGAGCTCATTTGCATAAACACTGAATGCATGTCAGTCTCTTTGGGTAAAAGCGTCTAACAAGTCACATGTGATTGGTTACTTGATCACATGGGGCTTATTATTAACCTACAACACGTGTTTGTCTAATTGAATGTGGACATCAATTCTGAAATATAACATCGGTTGATTCTGAAATTTGGATCAGCCGCTAAACGATCTATGGATGAACTGCTGGATCGATAACTTACTCCTCATGTCACTCCTTAGCACCTTAAGGAAGACTTCAAATACTCTCAACATGTTTAAAATTGAATGTAGACTATGAGATATGACGGTTAAACACACATAATAATAATAATAATAATAATGGAACATGTGATGCCTCATTGGAGCAAAACTCACCAAACAAGTCCAAACATCCTTTTTCTTGTATTGTACTTTCTGCATAATCTTTCATCATGACTCCTGGAATTAGGTTTTTAATTATGCAAAGTCCAAATGGTATGAACAATAACCACATCTCCTAAACAAATGAAAGGAAACTCACTTCTTATACAAAAAAACTAATATAATCATTAAACATTTAAAGGAGGAATTTGGGCTGTGAGGCTTTGAGGCTTTGAGGGTTATACAACACCTCTGTGTTTTGTAACGCTTGAAGTTGTGTTTAGAAAACAGCCACATGTATTTCAGGTAGATCCGTAGTCACCACACACACACACACACACACACACACACACACACACACACACACACACACACACACACACACACACACACACACACACACACACACACACACACACACACACACACACACACACACACCTCGAGCCATAAGAAAGAAGAGCGTGCATTGAGGAAGTGTGAGGCAGGTAAAAGTGTGTGTTTTTATTTGTCTAAATCCTCGTGCAGATCCTCGCGGACTCCGGCTCTCCGGGGACTCTCCCC